AGTGGCAGGCAGCTATGGATGTAGAGATGGCTTCCTGGAAGTCCACAGGCACCTACGTTGACGTTGTTCCCCCTCCTAGGGCGAACATCGTCAGTGGCATGTGGATCTTCAGGGTGAAGCGGCCGTCGGGTTCTCCGCCTGTCTTCAAGGCGCGTTACGTGGCTCGTGGCTTCAGTCAGCGGCAGGGAGTTGACTACTTTCAGACCTTCTCCCCCACCCCGAAGATGACCACTCTTCGGGTACTGCTGCACGTTGCTGCTCACCGTGACTACGAGCTGCACTCTCTCGACTTCCGCACTGCTTTCTTGCAGGGCAGCCCGCACGAGGAGATCTGGCTGCGCCGCCCCCTGGGTCTTTCCCTCCTGGTACCCAGTGGAGTCTTTGGCGTCCAGTCTACGGTCTCCGCCAAGCGCCACGTGATGACGAAAATGGCACATTTCGCAACGTGCAAAAAATCTATCACAGCCGAAGAAACGGCTCGACTCTTCATCTCCACCGTCGTTCGACTGCACGGGATACCATCAGCGATCATCAGCGACCGTGACACGAAATCCACCAGCAACTTCTGGCGGAACCTATGGCAGCAGTTCGGCACGCGACTACAGTTCAGTTCTTCATACCACCCCGAAACCGACGGACAGACAGAACAGACAAATCAGACTATGGAGCAACTCATCCGAGCCACGTGCGATGACCCAACCACCTGGGAACAACAGCTGCCACTTATTGAGTTCGCATACAACAACTCGCCATCCGCCACGACCCAACAGTCACCGTTTTACCTGAACTACGGACAAGACCCGACAGTACCCATGACCCCGAATCCCAATAACCCGGTACCACGCGCACAGCAGTTCGCCGAAATTTTGCAAGCACCACGGACCAGAGCGACCGACGCAATTAAATAGGCCAACGTCATCGCTAAACGCAACGCCGACCGCCACCGCCAACCTATTACTTACCAGCCCGACGACCTAGTTTTACTTGACACCCAGAACCTCCGCCTGCCCATCACCCGAAAACTTTGCCCCCGATACTGTGGACCATTCCGCATCAGCCACATAATTACGTCCGTCACCGTCCATCTCCTCCTCCCCGCTGACTGGCACGTCAGCCCGTCCTTCAACGTCAGCCTACTTCGCCCATACATACCATCCACAAGCCAACTGCCACGTAATCGACCAGCCAGCATGACACGACCGCCGACTGAACCAATCATCACACCTGAGAAAATTATGAGCCACATAGTTCGTGACCGTGGAGGAGCCCGAAGGATCGAGTTCCTGATCCGCTGGAAAGACCGTAGACCCACTGAAGACAACTGGGTTCCCCTGGACAGAGTCGAAAACCACCCCGTCCTCACAGAGTATCTGCGCAGCCGAAACTTCAGGGATGTACACGTGCTTTCGTAAGGAGGACCTCCTTAGGAGAGGGGGGGGGGGGGGGGGTAGTGTAAGGAAAATTCCCTTTTCCTTACTTCGCGTCCCCGCTCAGCGCGTACACCACTGTAGCACCACAGTCAGCACCGTTACCACTCGCAACCCTCGTATCGACAATCCTCCCGCCACCTTCGCACGTGGCCCCCCGACCTCACGGCTCGGCAGGTAACCCGCGCTCCGGGCCTCCGCTTCGACATTTCCCCAAACCTCAGTCCCAGGCCCGTCGCGCGACAACCACAGTCCATTACCGTTATCAGTGTAGTTTCGCTATATATTATTCGCTCATGCCTTCGCTCATTGTTCTCTTGCTTCGATAGTGCAATTCTAGCTAGATCACTCAATTGGACTCGTAACATGTGGTAAGTCAAACTATAAGACCAATGGGCTCCGTACAGCAAGGCTTTCCACCTTCAAGAAGCATCGTTGTGTTGACCATGCTCCCCTGAACTCTTCGCTAAAACGGGTACGCAAGATTATTGAGTTTCTGCCGAGGGCGTATTTACATTACTGTTAGGCTACGTTTTTTCAGTTTGGTGGACGCCAGGGAGCCTGGAGACGTAATGAGAGCGAATTCCTTGGCACGGACACCATCCGAACTCTCGACATGTTGGACGATGTACGCCTACTTCCCCGAAGCAACCTGACCCGGACAACCACGCTACGAAAATTTCACTGCTGAAAAATACACACAAAATCACTACGATCTCAATACACTCCACGCCACACATGTCAGTAAGCTGTTTAAGCACAGCTGACTGAACACACCGAAACTACCTTGCCTCTCTGCAGGGTTGGGTTCGGGTTCTATCAAGCCTGTCAAATTACGAGGTTAGTCGATAATTAGACATTCAATCGGAAACAAATATGCAAGCCGTCAAGGTGTCGCAACTTCGGATGGTGTCCCTGCGTAGGAATCCGCCCTGAGGTTCGACAAAAAAAACAAGAGGCGACGAAATCGTCTTAGGGTTGCGAAGCGTTTTGCATAATTACATACCGTAATCCCCCGCATAGTACACCCTAGGGTGTACTGATAAATACCCCCCTTTTGGGGGGTGTACTCTACGGGGGATTACGGTAAATTTGTAGAACTTACAATTTACATTATGCTGTAGTATGACACGAAGTAGTACTTCTTGTCGCTAGGCAAAGATCAAAAGAATCACACCAGAAGGAATCGATCTGGAAACCTTCCGATTCTACGTTCAATCTTATACGACTACGATAGCGCTAATGTCCATTTCGAATAGCTGATCTTAACAGACTGTTACTTTTGCGACGAATCTGAGACTACCTTAGAGTTTGTTCGTCCCTTTTTTCTCCCGCTTCTCCTTCTCGCTGGTCACGCTCTACCAGCTTCTCCACCTACTCTGACTGCAACTTAGGTAAGAAGATCCCTCAGCTCTAGCTCCAACTAAGTTAGATGCCTATTAGATAGAGTAACATTTAGTCAATCCGTATCCTTACTGTGTAAATGGATGAGTATTAGCTAGACTTAGTTGTTTAAACGTAGGTTCTAGGCCCTTTGTAAGATTTCGTTTCTTCCTGCATAAGCTTGCATCTGTTTCTTCTATTCTTCATCCTTCAACTTTCCTTTCGTCGGTTGCCTTTTCTTCATATTTGCATGTTTGAGTTCTTTTTTTTTTTTTCAACCTCGTCTTAGGTTGTACATAAAGATTGTAATAGGTTGCACGTTCAGTCCATTTCGTTCTCTCTCGCTCGTTCTCTCTCTCCCGTTTCTCTCTCTCCCGTTCTCTCTCTCCCGTTCTCTCTCTCCCGTTCTCTCTCGCTCGTTCTCTCTCTCTCCCGTTCTCTCTCTCCCGTTCTCTCTCGCTCGTTCTCTCTCTCCCGTTCTCTCTCTCCCGTTCTCTCTCTATCGTTCTCTCTCTCTCGTTCTCTCTCTCGTTCTCTCTCGTTTTCTTTCTCCATCTCTTTCTCTTGTTCGTTCTCTCTCTCTTGTTCTCTCTCTCTCTCGTTCTCTCGTTCTCCCGCGTTCTCTCGTTTTCTCTCTCTCTCTCTCTCGTTCTCCCTCTCTCTCGTTCTCTCTCTCTCGTTCTCCCTCTCGCGTTCTCTCTCTCTCTCTCGTTCTCTCTCTCTCTCTCTCTCTCTCTCGTTCTCTTTCTCTCGTTCTCTCTCTCTCTCTCTCACTCGTTCTCTCTCTCGTTCTCTCTCTCTCGTTCTCTCTCTCTCGTTCTCTCTCTTTCGTTCTCTCTTTTTCAGTCATTCCTTTGTTTTCGTCCGTCCTCTTTTCCTATCTCGATTCCTACTTGTATCTTGTCTTCCCTTTTGTTTATTTCCACTTCTTTTTGCTGGTTTTTATTCCGCTTTCAGTTTGGTGAATCATACTTATTTCCCTCCTTCCTCCTTTTTTTTCTGTTTACTCCTTCAGTGTGATGCTTCCGTTTTCTGCTTCCTCATTATGCTTCTGTTTTCTGCTGTGTTTGATGTGCAACTTGTCGCACCTTTTTTTGCGACACTAAAATCCCTCCTCATTCGTCCCTTCTGTCCCCCCCCCTCCCCTTTTTTTTCTATGTTGTACTCCTCAGAGGCTTTGCTGTTTTCTTGAGGCAGTCTAGTCAACTTCTGAAGTGGAAAGATAACAGTGATGACGGTGACCTGTAGGATCGTATTGTATTGGTAAATTTCATTTGCTTCTGTTTTATTGTTTGTAAAGCTTGTGCATTGAGCTTTTGTGTTTGTTTGAATGTGCATGTGTTTGTATGTGTCTGTATGTGTGTGTATGTTCATGTGTGTGCGTGGGTGTTCTCGGTGTATAAATCTCCATATCCATTGCAATAACAATGCATGTCTGTGATTTTTAAAAAGAAAGCTCAGGTCTATCATTTCACATACCGTAAGGTTCATTGGCGCACTCAGTGACTCGTGTGCGACCACTTCGAACTGGATTTGATAGAGTTGACTTCTTTTTAAGATTTCACAGATTGTGTTGTTTCATGTGATTGTTGATTATTCAAAATCTATGCTATTGACCTCCCCCCCATGCTAGGCAGGGGATGGCGGTAGCTTAGTTTTTGGGTCGTTAACTGTCACGCATTTTATTGTGTGCATGCATGTGCATCATGATTCATGACATCATACTATTAAACATAATGCATCATATAGCATTATTTATGCATCATGCATCTATTTATCATTACCACAGCACCATTTAATAGTAACACATACTAATATATAACAGTACAGCATATATTCACCAAACCACTGACCAGAAAAACATATGGTTTAATATATTGTGAACAACATTAAAAATTCTTCAACATGCACACGGTGTGGGAAGGGTACTGTAGTTTACGGATTTTATTTTCATGTTCTATTAAAAATGATAAACATGAAAATAAAATCTGGCAAAATCGATCGTAAAGGGTTGCTTCGCAACCCAAAAAAGTGAAAGCGGGGACAGCAGCCTTGAAATATTACACGCCTCTGTCATTGGGACAAAGAGGCACAAGGCACCTCCTCACCTCTTCTCACTTCCCAACTACCAACCTCCCCCGATACCTCGACGTTCGTACGGTCACGATTACAACGGCGATAACAGGAGCCATGTCACACGGAGTGCCGGTGACGGTCCGACCGGAGGAGGTGGCGGGGGGGACGGTGAGTGACACCGCAGGAGGAACGGAGGCGCGAGTAGAGCATTTAGCGGCGAAGCTGGCACAGCAGGAGGAGGCCATGGCTGCTCTCAAGAAGGAGTTGGCCGAACTGCGACGCGGGATGGCGAAGGTCGCAGGCGCGAGCGGTGCAGAGGCGAAGGTCGCAGAAGCGAAAGGCGCAGAGCCGCCGGGCGCAGCGGCAAAGGGCGCAGCGGCGAAAGGGGCGTTGGAGACGGGGAGCCACGGCGAGACGGCAAAGGGCAAGAACGGGGCGGAGATTGCCGCGGCAGGGGAAGCTGGAAAGGCAGGACACGACCCCCCGGCGGACATTCTCGATGGGAAAGAAATTGTCGCGATAGTGGAGAACTTCATAACGGAGCACGTAGCTGGATTAAGGGGTGAGCTTGCGTCTCAGGCGGAGGTTTTGCAGCAGCAGGTGGACGCGGTGCGGAGCGAGGCGGCGGACGCGGCGGGCGCGCTGAAGGCAGAGATTGCGCGGATTAAGGCTGCGGCGGAACGGCAGGCGGCGGAAGTGGCGTACGTGCGCGCGATGGCGTCGCACGCCGAGGAGCGGACGAACGAATTGGAGCTGGCGGTGGCGGAGGGGAAGAGCGCGCAGAAGAAGGCGCGCGCGGAGCGCAGCTAGCCCGGGGGAGGCGCGGGGGCACAAGCAGGAGCGGAGATGCCCGAGGGGAAGAGGCGGAAGCTGGATGAGGCGGGGAAGGCGGAGGAGGTGGCGTCTGCTGCTGCGGGCGGTCGCGCACTTGTTGCCAATCGTGGTTCAGATGGAAAGCGGGATGAGAGAGAAATAAAGGCTGCCGTGCTGGGTCTGCAGAAGGCAGTGGATGGGCTGCTGCGCAGAGTGGCTAAGGTGGAGGACGGTAATCGCAACAGAGGAAGGTTATGGGAGGTGAGTGCATATTTTTTTTCTTCTTCTATTTTTTGTTCTTTTTATTCTTTTTTTTTGTTCAAAAGCAAATGCTGCCACCTTGGCAAGTGACAAGCGTAAGAGTGAAGAGACTCACCCATACACATGTGACATGCGTGTATCAACCATGTGAAGCCGAGATGGTGGGAAGGGAAATGAACATTGTTGAAGAGACGCACCAGCGGATGCATATGTTGCTGTTGCTGCTGCTGCGGCTGCTGCTGCTGCTGCTGCTGCTGCTGCTGCTGCTGCTGCTGCTGCTGCTGCTGCTGCTGCTGCTGCTGCTGCTGCTGCTGCTGCTGCTGCTGCTGCTGCTGCTGCTGCTGCTGCTGCTGCTGCTGCTGCTGCTGCTGCTGCTGCTGCTGCTGCTGCTGCTTCTGCTGCTGCGGCTGCTGTTGCTGCTGCTGCTGTTGTTGTGGTTGTTGTTGTGGTTGCATGTGGCACGCATGGGACCATGCTGAACTCATAAATCTTCAGGGTCTCGCTTGTCCCTGGTGCTGTTGCTGTTTAATGCTTCTCATCCCTTACATCCCACCCACTCTTCTCCCTCTGATACCTCTCATCCCTCTCCCTGGCACACTGACTACCCACCCACCCATGCCTTCCCTGCAGGCGCTGCTGACGCTCTGGGCCAAGGCAGCGCCGCAGCAGGCGGAGATGGAATTCATAGTCGTCTCCAGCCTCTCAAACACGGCACTCTCCCGCCTCACCTCGTTGCGCCAGCTCACCTCCATAAACCTCAGGAACTCCTCAGGTTTCTCTGCCATGGGAGTGCGACAGCTCTACTCCCTGCCCGCACTCGAGCATCTGGAACTCACGGGCTCATGCACGGACGCTGCTCTTGAAGGTATTGACCGCGTGACGAGCCTGCGCTCTCTTGTTCTCAACTACAGCAAGGTAACGAATGCGGGGCTTGCAAGGCTGGAAGGGATGACGTCTCTCCTGAAGCTGTACCTGGGAGGACTCGAGGCGATTACGTCGGATGGTATGTTCCATTTGGAGAAGCTGACGGCGTTAGAGGAGCTGTCGCTGCACGAGACGGGAGTGGGGGAGGACGGGCTGTCGTATCTTACCTCCCTCACCTCGCTGATTACTTTCTATTTGCCTCTGGGTGTGACTGACTCGGGTATGAAGTATTTGAGGCATATGCAGCGGCTGGAGATGCTGGGGTTGTGGGATGCAGAGGAGATCACTGCAAATGGTGTTAACTGGCTCATGGGCCTGCCGTGCCTCAGGAAGGTTGGAACGGACGATTTTGAAGTAGAAGGGTATATTCAGGACAGATTTCCGGGAGTGATTGTGCTTCCAGGACTACCTTAGTTGTCAGGCAAGTGCCTCACTTGTGATACAAAACCTTCTAAAACTAATTTCAATATGGTAGAATCATTGGACAATTGGAATTGAGATCGAAATATTTCATTGGCTTAGCTGGAAGTCAACAAACTCCAGCAAACATCTGATTGGGGTGTACTTGATAGGGTAATACATCTGCAGATATCTATTCAACTAGTTGAGACTCACCATACAGATTCCTCCGGTGTGGTATTGTATCGAATCAGCTCTCAGCGGCAGTGTTTAGTTTCGCCACTCTCGCATGTCATCTCTGCCAGGGAGAGGGGGAACAGGGGACGTGACGAATTGGGAGCTCGTCACCTGATTTCGCAACGAAAGGCTTCACGAAACCCTAAAATGTGGTGGCTGCCACAAAACGGTTTGGAGGAAAAGACTCGCTACTCCAGAGCCTACTATTCTCAGCCTCAACAGCTAGGCTTGAAATTCAGCAGCAGCAGTCAATTACCCCTACCATCCGCGCTGCTTACCACCCTCAACCGCGCCAACGTGATTTAGGCGATTTGACCGCGCGAGCTAAACTTTCCTCTGCACCGTTTACCTGAGTGGATTTCTCTTCGCGCGTCGCCGTCAACCGCCATGTCCAAGGTACGCCTTCTCTTGTCCGCAAAGCCCTGCCTTGCGTGGTGTTGCAGAGATTTCTCAACGCTCAACGCCTTGGATTGCAGACTAGGCGGTTTGTGCAAAAGTAGCGACCGGGCGATTCGTCTCGCATCAGATGGCCTTGCTTCGCGAAGGGAGTCCCGCCTCTCACTCCCCCGTTCCGCCGACCCCCGTCGGCCTTCCACAGCATCATCCCTCCAGCTCGGTTACCACCCGCGTGTGTGTGTGTGTGTGTGTGTGTGTGTGTGTGTGTGTGTGTGTGTGTGTGTGTGTGTGTGTGCGTGCGTGCGTGCGTGCGTGCGTGCGTGCGTGCGTGCGTGCGTGCGTGCGTGCGTGCGTGCGTGCGTGCGTGCGTGCGTGCGTGCGTGCGTGCGTGCGTGCGTGCGTGCCGGCGTGCGTGCGTGCGTGCGTGCGTGCGTGCGTGCGTGCGTGCGTGCGTGCGTGCGTGCGTGCGTGCGTGCGTGCGTGCGTGCGTGCGTGCGTGCGTGCGTGCGTGCGTGCGTGCGTGCGTGCGTGCGTGCGTGCGTGCGTGCGTGCGTGCGTGCGTGCGTGCGTGCGTGCGTGCGTGCGTGCGTGCGTGCGTGCGTGCGTGCGTGCGTGCGTGCGTGCGTGCGTGCGTGCGTGCGTGCGTGCGTGCGTGCGTGCGTGCGTGCGTGCGTGCGTGCGTGCGTGCGTGCGTGCGTGCGTGCGTGCGTGCGTGCGTGCGTGCGTGCGTGCGTGCGTGCGTGCGTGCGTGCGTGCGTGCGTGCGTGCGTGCGTGCGTGCGTGCGTGCGTGCGTGCGTGCGTGCGTGCGTGCGTGCGTGCGTGCGTGCGTGCGTGCGTGCGTGCGTGCGTGCGTGCGTGCGTGCGTGCGTGCGTGCGTGCGTGCGTGCGTGCGTGCGTGCGTGCGTGCGTGCGTGCGTGCGTGCGTGCGTGCGTGCGTGCGTGCGTGCGTGCGTGCGTGCGTGCGTGCGTGTGCGTACGTGTCTTTATTCCGTTCTCTGACGGGATGTGTGGAATAGCCTGGCTCGGGTCAGCCAATTTATGGTAGCACGCGACGTCGATCAACAGTGTATTCTGACACGGACAATAATGATTCGGATACTTTTGAGTCGACTCAAAAGTCACCTCGGATACTGACACTGATATTGACGCGATTAGTGACACGGATAGTAGTCACGCGAATTTGGTTGACGGCCCTGGCTGTCGGCCGGCCGCACACTGTCGCGCCACGTTGCTCGCCGATTCCATTGCCTCAATCGTTTATCGTCTCCCTTCTTACCTTCTCCCTTCCCCACTCCCTGTCTTGTCTACCACCGTCCCTCTCTCTCCCCACTCCACCTCTCTCCCTCCTCCTCTTCCTCCCCTTCTCCTCCCTCCTCCACCTACCGTTGCCGCGCTCCCTTCCCCTCCCGCACTGCGCCCCCTTCTCCTTCCCCCTTCCACCTTCTCGCTTCCCCCTTCCCTCCTCCCCATTCCCCCCCGCGTTTGCGCGCATCCTGGGGGGTCGTGCGCGGCAGCCATCCACGTCAGCGCCGGTGGACGACACGCATCGGCGCAAGTGGGACAAGGAGGAGTACATACAACGCGCGCGGGAGCGCGAGGAGGTGCGCGGATAGGGGGGACGGGGAAGAGGGGGCGAGGGGGGGAGGGGGAGAGGGGGAGAGGAGGTGAGGGGGAAAGGGGGGGAGGGGGAGGCGGGAGGGAGAGGCGCAGGAGGACTAAGGGAGAGATGGGGGGAGGTAGGAGCGGGGGAGGGAAAGGGTGGGGGGGAGATGAAGGGCAGAAGGGAGGGTGGAAGGGGAGGGATGGGGTGAGCGGGCAAGGGCGGGAGGTAGAGAGAGTGGTGATGAGCGGAGGGTGGTGAGCGGAGGGTGTTGAGCGGAGGGTGGTGAGCGGAGGGTGATGTCATACGAATACGATTATGCTCTGTAGTCTGTAATTTCTCTCGCCCGCGTTGCTTGCTGCAGTTTCTGCAATCTGTCTGTTCCGATCCTTGCTGCCTTGCTTGCATGCCCATCATTCCCTAGTGCCGCACACTCGTGACAACAAATGTGTGTCTGCATGGTTTGCATTTGAACGGGCTTGGTGCGATGGGGGAGAAGGGTGCGGGGGCCAGGACGGGGGGGTGTTGTAACGGTGCTTGTGAGCTTGAGTGTGGTGTGGTGTGGTGTGCCGCTGCTCTGTCTGTGCTTTGTGTTCTGTTCTGTGCGCTTCTCTTTTGTGTTGTTTTCCCATCTTTGCTCTCTGGTTCGTGTGGAGCAGGAAGAAGAGGATGAGGAGGGAGGCCATAGACGTACGTACTCTTCCCTCCCCTCACATTCCCTCCCCTCACATTCCCTCCTCTCACATTCCCTCCCCTCACATTCCCTCCCCTCCCCTCCCCTCCCCTCCCCTCCCCTCCCCTCCCCTCCCCTCCCCTCCCCTCCCCTTCCCTCCCCTTCCCTTCCCTTCCCTCCCCTTCCCCCCTCCCGTTCCCCTCCCTTTACTTCCCTTTTCTTCCCTTCCCTTTTGTTCCCTCCCGCCCTGCCCGTCTCTTCTCATCCCGATGCATGTCTGCCTCATCTCTTCCTATTATCCCCTCTCGCATCCAAACTTTACCCGCAATCACTCTCACTTGCCATCTCCCCCCCCTCCACTACCTGTGTCCCTCTCTCCCATCGTTTTTCTCCGCCCTTGCAGTCTTGTATTCATCCGCCTACCCGCTCTCTGCCTATCCTCACCCGTTGATCCGCCCTCTCTACCCCCACCCATGCATGTGCCCACCCACCCACCCACCATTGCACCCACCCACCCACCCACCCACCCACCCACCCACCCACCCACCCACCCACCCACCCACCCACCCACCCACCCGCCTGCCCGCCCACCCGCCCGCCCGCCCGCCCGCCCACCTACCCACCCACCCACCCACCCACCCGCCCACCCATGTGCTCCCAGGCCGGCCGGCCCCACCAGCACTGCCGCGGGCGCCGTTGAAGCAGCGGGACTTCGAGGTGGACCTGTCCTCTAACCTCGGCCGCACTCAGGTGGGTGGGATGGGGGAGGCGGAATGGGGGCGGCGGAATGAAGGGGACTGTTGCATGTATCTCTGTCTGCGATTGTGATTATTTGAGATTGAGGAACAGGCGAAGTTCCGCTGCTCCGCTTTCCCGTCGCACCCCCACACCAACCAACCAGCCCCTTGTCCGTTTCAACCCCCCCGCCTCTCCCTCCCCCCTTCCCCCTCCCCCCTCCCCTTTCCCTCATCACCCATTCCCCGTCCTCTGTTCCGTCTTCCTTCTCTCCTTTTCTCTGTTATCCCCTGTGCTCCTTGTTCCTCATCCCTGTGCGCAGGTCGTGCTGCCAACTGCGTCTCTCAACCAGCAGGTGATCCCAGGCAGAGCTGGGGTTTGGATACGACTTAAACCCTTCCCCTGTTCCGTCTTCCCTCTCCCCTGTTATCTGCTATCCCCTGTGTGCAGGTCGTGCTGCCAACTGCGTCTCTCAACCAGCAGGTGAGCCCAGGCAGGGGTGGGCTCTGGGCGTGGGGCAAGCAGATGTGGGGACACGCCGGGAGCGAGCATTGTGGTGGGGGGGGTGGGGGGCAGTGGGTGGCATGGCATGGCAAGTGCTGCAGGAGAGGTCATGAAGAAAGGAGACGTGGTGTGGGTGTGTGGGAGGAGGAGGACGGTGGGGGGATGGGTGGATCGAAGGAAGGTGGAAGGGGGAGGGAGAGGGTGGGGGGGGGAGAGGATATCTAAGGTAAGGTGCTGCAGTTTAGAAATGACTCTTTAGCTCAGCTGTGTAGGCTCTAGAGCTTGCTTGCTGTAGTTTGAATCGTCTTGGCACCTTCCCTAATGCTCCCTCCCTCCCCCCTTGCTACCTGCCAGGCAGGTTACTTCTGTGACGTGTGTCAGTGTGTGGTGAAGGACTCGGCCAATTATCTAGACCACATCAACGGCAAAAAGCGTGAGTTGCGGTTGCTGTTGCTGTTGCTGTTGCTGTTGCTCACGTGCTCTCCCCCAAGAAAAACACCTGTCTTTTGAGGCGTCTCACAAGTCGTGTGTCAGTGTGTGGTGAAGGACTCGGCCAATTGTCTAGACCACCACATCAACGGCAAGAAGTGTGAGTCGCTCTTGCTGCTGCTCTTGCGCTTGCCCTTGCTCTTGCTGTTGCTGTTGCTCACTTGCTCTCTCCCAAGAAGAAAGTCGTTTTTTTTTTGCTGCACATGTGTAGGCATGAGCAAATTTCCGAACCTCAGTTTGGTTCAACGCGGTTCGGCTCGTTGCAAACCGAACCTTGGCCTAGTTTTCTTTAGTAGGTTCGCAACGGTCCGAACTGGTTTGTCAACGAACCGGTTCGGTGGTTCGACCGGTCCGGTTATTTGTTTTTATCTAGGGGCAAA